GGAAAGGAATTGGTGCAGTGATTATCACTCCTCATGGGTCACATATCCCTTTTACTGCAAGATTAGCATTTGATTATACCAATAATATGACAGAGTATGAAGCTTGTATCATGGGTCTCGAAGAGGCTATAGATCTCAGAATCAAAATTCTAGATGTATATGGAGATTCAACTTTGGTAATAAATCAAATTAAAGGAGAATGGGATACTCGTCACGTTGGGTTGATTCCCTACAAAGACTATGCAAGAAGATTATTACCTTTATTTAATAAAGTTGAACGCCATCATATTCCCAGAGATGAGAACCAGATGGAAGATTCTTTATCCACTTTGGCTTCTATGTACCAAGTAAATACTTGGAACGATGTACCTTGTATCACAGTTCGACATATGGATAGGCCAACTCATGTGTTTGCAACAGAGAGAACATCAGATGAGAAACCTTGGTATTATGATATCAAGAATTTTCTCCAGACTCAGGAATATCTAATTGGTGCATCAAACAAAGATAGAAAGACATTGAGAAGCTTGGCAAGCAGCTTTTTCCTCGATGAAGATGTGATATACAAAAGAAATTATGACACAGTCTTGCTCAGATGCGTGGATAGACACAAAGCAAACATATTGATGCATGAAGGTTCATTTGGTACTCATGCCAATAGACATTAGATGGCAAAGAAGATGCTTAGGGCAGGTTACTATTGACTGACAATGGAATTTGAATGTTACAAATTTGCAAAGAAGTACCATAAGTGCCAAATTTATGATGACAAAATTCATGTGCCTCCGACACTTCTCAGTGTTATTTCTTCCCCGTGGCCTTTCTCTATGTGGGATATTGACATGATTGGAATGATTGAACCCAAGTTGTCGAATGGACATCTTTTATTCTTGGTGGCAATAGACTACTTCACCAAATGGGTGGAAGCAACTTCCTATGCTAATGTCACTAAACATGTGGTAGTATGCTTTATTAAGAATAATCATATATGTCGGTATGGTGTACCGAGCATGATTATCACTGACAATGGCTCGAATCTGAATAACAAGATGATGGTAGAACTTTGTGAAGAATTCAAGATTGTCCATCATAATTCATCTTCTTACAAGCCAACGAGGAATGAGGTTGTTGAAGCTGCTAACAAAAATATTAAGAAGATCACCCAAAAGACGGTTATTACCTATAAAGATTGGCATGAGATGCTCCCTTTTTCTTTGCATGGGTATTGTACACCCGTCTGCACTTCAATAGGGGCAACCTTGTTCTCTCTTGTGTATGGTATAGAAGTAGTGCTTCCTATTGAGGTTGAGATTCCCTCTTTGCGTGTGATAATGAAAACCAAATTGGCAGAGGCTGAATGGGTCCAGAACAGGTTTGACCAATTGAATTTGATTGAAGAAAAGAGAATTATGGCCTTGTGTCATGGTCAGTTATATCAGAAGAGAATGAAGAAAGCTTTTGATAAGAAGGTCAAGCCTCGTGAATTCAGAGAAGGCGACCTCGTGCTCAGAAAGATCATGTCTTTTAACACCGATTCTAGGGGCAAGTGGACTCCCAATTATGAAGGCCCATATGTTGTCAAGAAAGCCTTCTCTGGAGGTGAATTGATTCTTGAAACTATGGATGGCGAGGAGTTCCCACGTCCTATGAATGCGGATGCAGTCAAGAAATACTTCTCCTAAATAAATAAAAGAACAACTCGCTAAGTCGAAAACCCGAAAGGGAGGCTTAGGCAAAAGGGAGCATCTCGGTAGGCTGAAAACCCGAAAGGGCAGTCTAGGAAAAAATAAGAGACACAAACAAAATAATTTTTCCCGCTAGGTTGAAAACCCACAAGGGAAACTTAGACAAAAGTTAGGGATTTCTTGGCAAGTAACTGCGTCAGACAAGACTTGATCATTGAAGCAACAATCTTCTTGGATCCTTGATCATTCAAGCAGAACGAAAGTAATGATTCCAAGGATGGACGAACTTTGAAGTTTAAAAAAAAAATCCCTAGGAAAGTTCTCCCAGGTCACTCTTGCTGATATGCACATGATCTTCTTGTGTTTCTCAGATAGTTGGAGTTCATACCAATTGATATTTGGTGCGATGTTGGGCATGTAATCCCATTTTCCCCAGTCAAGTCTTGGGTCAGATTTTTCTCCAGGTTGGTTATTTGCTTCAAAGTGTGTCTATTTGCTTTTCGTAGAATAAAGTGGGTCTTGCTCTGATATGTAACATCGGGGTTAGGATCGTTTGAATCATGAATCTTATGTCCTTTGTTTTGTTTCTAAGATGTTGGGTTACTTTTCATGGTACTGAATTATTTTGAATTATGTTTATGAATCATGAAGTATGATGAGATTTTATGAAGTATTTATAATAAGGTTTTTGAACCATTAATTTCACTGTGAGGTTTTGATGTATTGAATTGATGTTACTAAGGACATATTTCTCTTAAATGATATTGAGAACCCGTGTTACGGAGCAGGATGTTTTAATATGAAGTTTTATATGAAAATGTGACATCCTTTTGTGAAATACTCTGATTTATTGTATGAATTATTTATGAATATTCCTTGGGGTATAGAAGGCTATTACAGCACACTTGTTTCTTTGTTTTATGTTTGGTGGAGATTATTATGTGGATTTTATATGTTTGATAATTTCTTATAACTACCTTTGTTATAATTATGTTTGAGAAGTTAAACTAGTCAGTTGTTGATGTTTTTTCGCTGTTAATAAAATGTTGAAGTCTAGACTTATATTATGATCTCTTATATTATTTAAATACCACATGTGTTACATATCCTATTGTATGAGCTGGTTGAATTTGAGTGTAGCATCCTAATTGCTTAAATTATTTTAATTTACTCTAATTTTTATTTATAAATGACTCATGAGAATTAGGGTGTTACAATGCTTATGCAGGATGGTCAGGTTGTGGCCTATGTGTGGAGACAATTGAAGATTTACGAGAGGAGTTATGCTAACCATGATTTGGAGTTGGCAGTTATAGTGGTTGTTCTTAAAATTTGGAGACATTATCTGTATGGCTCTAGGTTCGAGGTTTTCAATGACCATAAGCTTGTAGTATATGTTTGGTCAGAAGGAGCTGAATATGAGTCACTCTCAGTGATAATAGGGTTATCATTCATCGTGATAAAAATATGATAAATACTTGAGTAAAATCTAAGGAGAAGAGAATGTACATTGGAATATGAGGGAGAAAGTGTTGAACCAAGGAAAAAGAACGAAAAGTCGAAGCTTTAATGATTTGAAATTATGAGCATGCAATGACATTTACTCTGGAAGAAAAGTGCTCTCAGATAAGAGGGACAGATTCAAAGAGACAAGGGAAACTCAATCTGCAAGATGGCTAAAAAACTTCTCCATGATCTCTCAATATTTATATAGGCAAAGGCAATTGAATAGATCGGATCGAAAGCAGTAAATAAGGGAAAATAATTTGTCAGATTTTATTCGGAGAAGAAAATCGTACTCAAGTGTACTTGAGTACACGGAACCTATGTCATATCACCCCATACATTTCAGGCACACGTCATAGAAAAACAGCAAAATGTTTCAATAATGGGATTACATTTAATGTTTACATCCCCTATTAGGCTTTGGCAAAACTAAAGTGGCGCATGCCACCCGACGCCTAGACGAACATCCTCAAAGGCCGGCCACGACTATTGAAAGACTCTTCCGACATTAAACATGTCTGACGAGTCTTAGGGGAAATTGTTCTATACCGATCAAAGACCCACGACCCATTGCTCCTCATCGGCCAAAGGTCCAATAACACAAGACCCATTATTGAATCAGTCCCTTCAAGCTCAAGTACACAATCTCTAATCTCCACTTTCACTACCACTATCTTAAACCCTAAATTTACTTGGGCGTTGAGTGCTAACCATGTAGGCACCCCTCATAAGTCCACCGTATCAGGGGTAGCAAACACTGATTAAAGACATCGCATCAAGATCAATACATCTAGTTCAAGAAACACTGTGATAACAACCTTTGATTTGTGGTATCATCACGTCATAGTGCCTCAAAAGCTTTGCTCCATTGTAGTTTCTGCAACCATCGCCATTTCTGCTTCGGCAACGAAACAATCTCCAACCAAGAATGGTTGATTCCCTGAAATCTAGAAAGCCGGGTTGAATCACACAATCCCTTATGCAAATTTCATTGACCTCATACATGTTCAATGCTCGTTCCCGCACTATGAACATATATATTAAGGATTAAAGTGATATTTCAGAATAAAAGGCGCTCGAACCGAAAGCAGAGTGCTCGAATTAACTAAAAAACAATATGGAAAGGCAGAGGGACTACTTTTGTTCCCTTCGTCTTGCCTAAAATCATTATATATATATATATATATATATATATATATATATATATATATATATATATATATATATATATATATATATATATTGGACTGTTAGTGTAAAACATCTTTATATATACAATTAATCAAAACTCTTGCATTTGTCACATTATTTTAGAATTTTAAAAATAAAATTGAGATTTATTGTAATACATATATTTCATTGATTGACAAATGCAAGAGTTTTGATTAATTGTATATATAAAGATGTTTTACACTAACAGTCCAATATATATATATATATATATATATATATATATATATATATATATATATATATATATATATATATATATATATATATATATATATATATATATATATATATATATGTGTTTTTTTTTTTTTTTTTTGTAAATTGAAATATGACGACGATCCACACCGAAAAGATGCAAAAAATATTGCCGAAAAAACTGACAAGGTAGCTGTAGCGTAACCTATACAAACTCCAATCCAACGATCCAAAACCCTCTTGACCAACCATCCTTTGATTTCAACCCTTACTTTCCCTTCGTTTTCTTCATACTATATAACAAAACTATTTTTCTTTCATCCTTACTTCTCCACTGTTTTCATCTTCTCTCTGGCCTTCAATTTCTAATCATACTCAACAATGGTAACATAATATAGTTAGCATCTATATACATGCTTCAATCACTCCATTACATATGCATAACATTTTATTTTATTTTCTAATAATTTATAGGAATTAATGTCGATAACACCACCGTGGCTTGAACGATTATTATCAACCACATTCTTCTCTTCCTGCAAAACTCACATGAACGCGCCGAGAAACGAGTGTAACATGTATTGTCTGGATTGTATGGAATCATTCTGTTTCTATTGCAAGCAATCATGGCACAACGATCATCGAGTAATTCAAGTGAGTATTTCATTTATTAAATTGTGCTTTTTAATTAGATTTTAGAAACTACTATGTCACTAATGTTGCGCGAAAGTGCAATGCAGATACGAAGATCGTCTTATCATGATGTTGTGAGGGTGGCTGAGATTCACAAGGTATTGGATATAAGTGGCGTTCAAACTTATGTGATTAACAGTGCTAGAGTGATTTTTCTTAATGAGAGGCCACAGAACCAGATTAAGACTAGTAATGCTGTTATTAGTGCAACTAAAACTAATTCACATTTGTGTGAAATTTGCACTAGATATCTATTGGACCCTTTTCGTTTCTGTTCTTTGGGTTGCAAGGTAACTAATTTCTCTTTCATTATTTAATTACTGTTTTTATAATGAAATATAATGAAATTATTTTAATAATAAATTATTATTATTATTATTATTATTATTATTATTATTATTATTAGTAGTAGTAATAGATGAAGTGATAATAACTAATAGAAACTCACACACGCAATCGTGATAATAGAGTCTAACCTAGCAATATCGATTTCTGCTAGTTGAACTAAGATTTGTAGATTAATAAACGGCTGTTTAAATTATTTAATATTTTATATATTGGGTTACGATACCTCTTACTATTCTTATTATTTCATTTTGATTATAGAAAAATATATAATGGATAAATTTTTGACAAAATATAAAGAAGTACCTGACCTAAATTTATTTTGGCTCATAAGGACTTAATGAAGGTGACATTGTTGATGAAAATACTAAAAAAAAGTTAATGTATATGAATAATTTCATTAAAATTTAAGTCATGGAGTTTTCTTATGAAGCAAGCAACTATGTGTCCAAGCTGTTATAGTTTTGTTTTTACTTAATTTTTTTAATGGTAAATAATTTGTTTGATTATCGTTATCATTGTCATTGTTGTTGTTGTAACAATTGTGTGTAAAAATAATAATAGCTTGTAGGAATAAAGAAAAATGGGAATGCAAGCTTTATCTTAAGCACAAAGAAAGAGGAGGAAATAGGGAAAATGCAGGAAAGAAGGTTAGTATCAAAAGAAGAAGACGAAGAAATATTAATAATGCGTGAAGGAATCCACAAACAACAAGTATACAAAAGCACGTCTTCTCCTTATTCATCTCAACAAGCTTGTTCAAATTCAAGGAGAAGAAAGGGAACACCTCATAGAGCACCTTTAGGACCCTAATCATTAATATTCATATAGTATTATAATTTATTTATTTTTTTGAAATATATTTATGGTTTCATGATTAGTTTTACAAGCTGGATTTGTGCTCTTTATCCAGCTCATTTCTCATAATCACCATGTGGGTTTGAAAGTTGATTTTAATCTAAAAGTGTTCTAAGCTGTCTTAATGGGTAGGCATATTAATTTAAGGAAAGGACAACGTTTGTGTTACTTTTGAAGATAGGCTGTCTTTGAGGTACAATAATTGATTTCCTTTGCTTTGCATTTGTGCATTTTGTTAAATTAATTAATAATATGTGATGAAACATGTTAGGTGTAATTGTTCCCTATACACATGAACGGTTTTATATAAGGAAACAATATTTGATTTATTTTCAAGTTTTTTATGAAGGTTTTTGCAATATAAGAACGGTTAGAATGAGTTATCTCATATGAGTCACTTTGTCATATTAGAATCTAAGGATTTACTTCTTAAAATTCAATAATTTTTTTAATGAAATTGTTGAATTTTTTTTCGAATAACCAAGTATTAAAAAAAAATCGTAAATAACCGCGTTTTGAAAAAAATTACGCAAATAACCATGTTTCAGATGATTCTCCAAAGGAGGAGTCATCTCACTTGGCGCCTACACCCATTATTTAAGTGGAGGCGCCATCTCACTTGGCGCCTATGTGCTTAGGACATGCCCTAAGCCAAGTGAGATGGCGCCTATGTGTATTTCTAGGGCAAATTTTGCGTTTTTTTTGGTCTGGTGCGTTGCGTATTGGATACAGGATCAATAAAATTGACTGTTTGATTAAAAAAATAATTACATCCAAATGTATTACATTAAAAAAAACAGATAAAAAAATAGGAAAAAAAAACAGATAAATCAGTGATAACAAAATTGACTTTTTATTTAAAAAAAATAATAATTACATCCAAATGTATTACATTAAAAAAATAGATAAAAAAAACAGATAAAAAAAAACAGATAAATCAGTGATCCCCCGGAACCCGGTAATGACCCCCGGTTCCGCATCCCCGTCCTCGCCTTTCCCGTGTTGGGTGTCGTCGCGTTTCCTGCTGTGGCAGGGTCGATGGCCCAGCGAAGTCAATGGGTTCTGGATCCATAAAATCAGTCAGATCTCCATATCTAGAAGATCCACTTTGATACAGTCGGTTACCCATACCCTCAAAGTTTGGTCGTGTTGGCGGTGGGTGGGGTTCCATGGTGGGTCTGTAGCATTGATCGCCTGAGTACGGTGGGTAGAAAGGAAATGGATCTTGGGGTGTTTGGTATTGAGGATGTTGGGTGGTTTGGTGATATTGTGGTTGATGGTAGGCTGGGCCGGTTTGTTCGTAATCTTCCGACATTCCCAGATCAGGGCTAAGGCTGGATGTTGAGGGGCCCATATTCGGATATACAGAAGACTGAAACTGTGTGTGGGGTATGCGGGTGTGTTGGTATTGTGAATGGTATTGTGGTTGGGTGTGAGGCATATGGGGGTATTGGTACTGAGGTGGTGATTGTGGTTGGTTATGGGGCATTTGAGTGTAATTGTGTTGTGGTGGGGACTGTGGTTGGGTGTTTGTGATTCTGTTTCTTCTGGGGGGTTGGTGGGAGGTTGATGGGTTTTGGGTTTATTGTTGGGGAAACGAGGGTTGTTCCCATTGTGTGCGTGGGTCAACCAAGTACCTTGGATGAGACACGTGCATTTCAGGGTTACTAACCGACCTGTACCAAGAAAAATATTGATCCGTGTGTCGTATATTACCATGATTAAGGAAAACCGGGAATTGCAAGACATATCGGTGACGCCTCTGCCACATCTTACACCATTCCGGAGCAAAGTCTTTCCAGTTGGTAAGACCCCACTGGGCGTCGACCCTTTTGAGATGCCATGGGGACAAACAAGTTGGATCACTTGGTATCTCTTGATGCATTCCGAACTGCATCTTCACACGGTCGCTGTGGTGCATCTCCATAATGTTGAACCGAATGATTGCAGTCTTCGCGGTCCAAATTGCTGCATCCTCCGGGTTTGGTTCATGGCCCAAACCCAAATATGGTCTCCAGACGAACTGCAAAAAAATTTAAATCAGGTTAACGAAAACGTAATATATAAATGAAGAAAAGTTTAAAGGCACGACGTACATCATCCGGGCCTAAGTGATCTAACAGATTGCGGTATAGTGCGACATTGAATCTTGGATTCTTGCCGTAATCCATACCCCTCACGCAATACCTAAAGGAAATGAAAAACATTTTATTTTTAGCATATATTTGGTGAAGAGATGAATAGTAATAAATGATATAACTTGATGACTTACTTTGTTGCGTACGGGAAAACGAAAGTGTTGTTGTTGACGGGGTTTAAGGACTCCATCCTCCACCAACCCCAGACTTGTAGTAAAAAAGTGCACCCATAAAATGTACATTTTTCCTTGACTGCATTTTTGCACAAGGAACTGTATAGGTGGGCTAAAACTGCAGAATCCCAACTATACTTTCTTGTTTTTTCAAAATCTCTAAGTAAATGTAAATACATAAAATTTACACTATTTCCCGTACTTTCCGGAAATAAAAAGGTACCAAATAGTATCATAAGATAAGTTCTGGCTTTTACTACCCTGTCTTGCTCGGAGGAATTTCCGTTTAATTCCAAACTTGCATAATGACTTTTAAGCTCAGTGAGTAGTATTCCCTGACCTCTCGCACCACCACCTTTTACCATATCCATGCCCAACAGTTCTTCACACTGAGAGTTGGGTTGTTGAACTGACCCGTTCACAGCCTTACCGTCGAAAGGGAGACCTAGTAACATGTACACATCCTCTAGCGTGACGGTACATTCACCTATTGGTAGGTGAAATGTATGGGTCTCTGGTCTCCACCTTTCCAACATTGCAAGAATGAACTTCGAATCAATTGTGAAGTTGGAGATCTTTATGACATGTCTGAAACCTGCATATTCTAGATATGTACGATAAATGGGTCGGGAGCCAGAGAGTTGTGAGATCAGATTCTGAATCTTTTGGTATCCTGAGTTAATAATATAAAAGATGTAAGATTAAGTAAGATGAACATAGCATTACCTTAAGTATAAATAATGTATAACCAAATTAGAAACTTACAAATGCGGCAATGTTTTCCCTTGTGCCTCTGTGAGAATCGCCCATTGTTAGAAGAGCCATTGTTTAAAATGCTTGAGATTATGAAAGACTTAGAAAGTGTAAGAGATTATTAAAGACTTAGAAAATGTAAGAGATTATGAAAGACTTAGAAAGTGTAAGAGATTATGAAAGATTTCGTAGCAGAGAGTGAGACGAATGTAGGTGTGAGAGATGTATGATATGGTCTGTATTTATAGGCAAAAAAATTTCATAGAGTGAGTGAGAGGGAAGCTGGTGCATGCATGCATGAGAAGTGTCACTCTTGCAGGCTAGGTGGAAGCCTAGGGGGTTACATATCTGCATGCATGTAACACGATTGGACATTAAGGGAGGAGCCATTTGACTTGGGGAAAGAGTACAAAAATGAAAGGTGTCGCCATCCCAATTGGCGAATAAGAGGTGTCATTGGTTGCAGACTAGGCTCAGGCTACGTGACAGCCTTTGGGATGCCATGCCTGAATGCATGTAACACTATTGGAGGTGATGGGAGGAGACTTACAAGATACATTGTAGGTGCAGAGTAGGCGCGGGCTAGGTGGCAGCCTAGGGGGTTATATATCTGCATGCATGTAACACGATTGGACATTAAGGGAGGCGCCATTTGACTTGGCGAAAGAGTACAAAAATGAAAGGTGTTGCCATCCCAATTGGCGAATAAGAGGTGTCATTGATTGCAGACTAGGCTCAGGCTACGTGACAGCCTTTGGGATGCCATGCCATAATGCATGTAACACTATTGGAGGTGATGGGAGGAGACTTACAAGATACAGTGTAGGTGCAGAGTAGGCGCAGGCTAGGTGGAAGCCTAGGGGGTTACATATCTGCATGCATGTAACACGATTGGACATTAAGGGAGGCGCTATTTGACTTGGCGAAAGAGTACAAAAATGAAAGGTGTCGCCATCCTAATTGGAGAATAAGAGGTGTCATTGGTTGCAGACTAGGCTCAGGCTACGTGACAGCCTTTGGGATGCCATGCCTGAATGCATGTAACACTATTGGAGGTGATGGGAGGAGACTTACAAGATACAGTGTAGGTGCAGAGTAGGCGCAGCCTAGGGGGTTACATATCTGCATGCATGTAACACGATTGGACATTAAGGGAGGCGCCATTTGACTTGGCGAAAGAGTACAAAAATGAAAGGTGTCGCCATCCCAATTGGCGAATAAGAGGTGTCATTGGTTGCAGACTAGGCTCAGGCTACGTGACAGCCTTTGGGATGCCATGCCATAATGCATGTAACACTATTGGAGGTGATGGGAGGAGACTTACAAGATACAGTGTAGGTGTAGAGTAGGCGCAGGCTACGTGGCAGCCTAGGGGGTTACATATCTGCATGCATGTAACACGATTGGACTTTAAGGGATGCGCCATTTGACTTGGAGAAAGAGTACAAAAATGAAAGGTGTCGCCATCCCAATTGGTGAATAAGAGGTGTCATTGGTTGCAGACTAGACTCAGGCTACGTGACAGCCTTTGGGATGCCATGCCATAATGCATGTAACACTATTGGAGGTGATGGGAGGAGACTTACAAGATAGAGTGTAGGTGCAGAGTAGGCGCAGGCTAGGTGGCAGCTTAGGGGGTTACATATCTGCATGCATGTAACACGATTGGACATTAAAGGAGGCGCCATTTGACTAGGCGAAAGAGTACAAAAATGAAAGGTGTCGTCATCCCAATTGGCGAATAAGAGGTGTCACTGGTTGCAGACTAGGCTCAGGCTACGTGACATCCTTTGGGATGCCATGCCATAATGCATGTAACACTATTGGCAGCCTTGGGGGTTACATCCTTACTTAATTGAAATTCAGTATGAGATTTTTAGTCTTACGTTTA